CAAGGCTGATTGCTGAGAGAAATTGGCTCCAAAGACCTTGTATCTGCTAATACTGAATACTTTTCTCTCTTCTTTCTCATAAAAGCTTCAAAATAAAAGGTTCAAAATAGTAGCTCACATCTTGGCTGTATTTCGTCACTTTACATTTATGTATGTATGTATGTATGTATGTATGTCAGTATGGCAGTATGGCGGTATGGTGGTTGTGGGGCTTGAACTCTGGACCTGGGTGCTGTCCCTCAGCGCTTCAGCTCAAGGCAAGTACTCTACCACTTGAACCACAGCACCACCTCTGGTTTTCTGGTAGTTAAGGATGTTCCTGCCACATCTGGCTTTAAACCACGATTCTCAGATCTCAGCCTCCTGAGTAGCTAGGCATGAGCCACCGGTGCCCTACTTTACTTTAACTTTTTAAAGATAGTGTATTAGGCTTTATATAGTCATATGATTTATTATTGATAGCAGTTATAATGGGGTTTTCAACTTCTTTCCTTACTGAGGGCCATTTAAATTAAGCTTATAAGCTAGAGGTGGTAGAGCACTTGACTAGCATGCTCAAGGCCCTGAATCCCATACCCTGAAGAGCAAAACAAAAATTTGAGCCATGCTCCAGTATCACAGACCTGTAATCCTAGCAACTCTGGAGGCTGAGATCTGAGTATCATGGTTCTAAGAGCTTAGCCAGGAAAGTCTGAGACTCTTATCTCCTATTAGCCACCAAAAAGACAGCTTTGAGCAAAATAGCTAAAGTTCAAGCTCCAGTAGCAGCACAAACAAAACAAAAACCATGTGAATATACACACAAATCTTAAGCTTCTTCAAAAAGAGTTGAAATTTGAGACTTCTCCCTTTTCTCTGCTACAAAAGATGGATTAGGAGAGGATTTAAAGTAGAAGCCTTGGTGAGGAGAAAGAAGAGCTTTGGAAAAATGCAGAAAGGATTTAGAATCCTAGCCGTCTTCATACTAGCCATGGGATTTTGTACCAATGAGCCACTTTGTGAACTCTGATTTCCTCATTGGGGAAGTGGGCATAATATCCACATTGTGTTATTCTTGTGAGACTTACAGGAGGTTGTCTGTTCAGTGCATACTGTACCTGGTATGCTGTCAGTGCTGGTCAAGTGTTAGCTTTCCACTTCCCTCTGTCCCTTGCATTTTTGTATAGAACAAGCCAAATACTGGGGCCTGCAATCTGCCCTTTGAGCCTGCTGCAGCTGAAAGTGAGAGAGGAAGTTATATTCATTTGGACAAAACCATCATTTCCTTAAAGCCCATTGCCATTGGTTCTTAAATAGGTCACTGAAAAAAAACATCAGAATGTAAGGTTCTCCATTTGCAAGGTGACCTGTGGATGGCCCTTGTTAGGCCAGGTTATTTGGTCTTGGCTGTCCCTTAATGGTTCTGTTGGCAGCTAGGCCTCATGGTTCACCAAAGGTGTTGAGTTTCCAGCTGGAAAATGGATGCCAAGGAGATTGCTTTTCCTGAAGTTTTCTTGTCATCTGAGTGGGGCTGCTATAATGTCATTTACCATATCTTGAGGTAGTTTGTTAAGTGATTAAGTGAAATACTTGGATGATATTTGAAATGTTCTTTTTTTTTTTATAATAGTAAGCCAAAGTATACTACCTTCTTTCTAGTTTCTTCCCCCTCCCCCCCACACCAAATTATGGTAAAATAGAACTCTTTTACTTTTAGCCTTTTGTAGTACTGAGAATAGAACCCAAGGCCTTGTACCTAGTAGACAAAAGCTATAGCACAGAGCTACACTGCTAGCCATTTTTGTTTTTGAGAAAATGTCTTAGTAACTTTTGCTGAGACTGGCCTCAAACTTGTGAATCTACTGCCTTTACCTTCCAAGTATCTAGGATTATAGTTGTGTGTCATCCTGCCCTGCCCAGCTTTTTAATATTTATTGATTTATTTATTTAGTGTAGTCTTGGGGCATGAACTCAGAGCCTGGGAGCTGTCCCTGAGCATTTTTTTTTTTTACTTAAAAAAATTGTTTTTGTGTAGTTGATATACAAAGGGGTTACAGTTACAGTTACATGACTCAGGTACAATCAGTACAATTCCTTTTGAACCATTTTTCCTTTTCTGTGGCTCCCAATCTTTCCCTCCACTCCCCACCCATAAGATATCCAGTCATAAGCCGGGCGCTGGTGGCTCACGCCTGTAATCCTAGCTACTCAGGAGGCTGAGATCTGAGGATCGCGGTTCAAAGCCAGCCCGGGCAGGAGAGACTGTGGGACTCCTATCTCCAATAGACCACCAGAAAACCGGAAGTGGCGCTGTAGCTCAAGTGGTAGAGCGCTCACCTTGAGCTGAAGAGCTGAGGGACAGTGCCCAGGCCCAGAGTTCAAGCCCCACGACCGACAAAAAAAAAAAGAAAAAGATATCCAGTCATTTTCTACATAGTGTCTGGGTGAGTATCACTGTTGAATCTGTTCATCTTTGTTCCACCTTTTATGTGCCTTCCCTTACTTTTCCAATGCAAACCAACTAACATTACAAAAGAAGAGAATGAAAACAACAACAATAGCAACTAAAGAGTGTCTCTTGTTTCCTTTTCTTGGAGTTCATTTCATAAACTATTATTTTATATGATCATCTGTCCATAGCTATTGAGCCTTTGCCTACTACTATGCTTGGCTTCCTTGGGCCTCTGAATGTTAATGATTAGGGTCCTATATAATTTATCATGTCCCAGTTTTATGCATTTGTTTTGGTCATTCAGTGTGTTTACTTGTAGATTTATAAGCACATTCTAGTTACCACAAATAAGGGAAACCATGTAGCCTATATTTCCTTGGCTCTGGCTTACTTCACTTAATATAATTTTTTCCAAGTGTATTTCCTTACAAATGAATGGTACAATATTATTCTTTCTGATGGATGAGTAGAACTCTATTGTATGCACACACACACACACACACACATACAAATTTTCTTGATCCATTTGTCCACTGAGGGCCATCTAGGTTGATTCCATATCTTGGCTATGGTGAACAATGCTGCAAGAAACATGGTTGTGCTGGTGGCTTTACTTTGGCCTGGTTTGTGATCCATTGGATAAATGTCCAGGAGTGGAATTGCCAGGTCATAGGAAAGCTCTTGTTTCCTCTTTTAGGGAACCTCCATACTGCTTTTCAGAGTGGTTGAACAAATTTACGTTCATACCAACAGTGTAATAAGGTTCTCTTTTGGCTATATCCCCACCAACATTTGTTATTGTTGATTTTCCTGAAAATGGCTATTCTAACTGAAGTAAGGTGAAATCTCAATGTTGTTTTGATTTGCATATCTTTTATGGGCAGAGATGTTGAACACTTCTTCAAGTGTCTATTAACCATTCTTTTTTCTTCCGGAGAAGTCTCTCTTTAGGTCTTTAGCCTATTTATTGACTGGATTATTGTGTTTTTGAGGGTTTATTTTTGGGGGGGGAGTTAATTTTTTGAGCTCTAAGTGTATTTTGGATATGAGGCCCTTGTCAGATGTATAGCTAGTGAAGATTTTCTTTCAGTCTGTGGGCTTTCTACTTATCTTGCTAGCTATGTCCTTTGTTAAGCAGAGGCTTTTCGGTTTGATACAATCCCACGCATCCAGCCTTTCTTTGATATGTTGGGATTCTGTGATTTTGTTCAGGAAGTTTCCCTCTGTGCCTAGAAGCTTTAGGGTTCCCTACCTCTTCCTGTAATATTTTTTTCTTTTTCTTTTCTTTTTTTTTTTGGTCGGTCATGGGACCTGAAATCTGGACCTGGGCATTGTCCCTCAGCTCTTCAGCTCAAGGCTAGCGCTCTACCACTTGAGCCACAGTGCCACTTCTGGCTTTTTCTGCTTATGTGGTGCTGAGGAATCCAACCCAACCCAGGGCCTCATGCATGCAAGGCAAGCACTGTACCACTGAGCCACCTTCCCAGCCCCTCCTATAATATCTTCACAGTATCTGACCTTACATTGAGGTCTTTGATCCATTTAGAGTTGATTCTGATGCAAGGGGATATATGGGTATCTAGCTTCAGTTTTCTGCATGCAGATATCCAATTTTGCCAGCACCACTTGTTGAAGAGGCTGTCTTTTTTCCAACCTGTGTTTTTGGCTCCCTTATCAAATATTAGGTGGCTGTATATTTGTGAGCTTTTTTCTGGCTCTTCTATTCTGTGCCATTAGTCCTCAGGCCTATTCTTGTGCCAGTATCAAGCTACTTTTATTACTATGGTTTTGTAATAAAGCTTGAAGTTTGGTACTGATATTTTTCTACCACTGTTCTTCCTGCTAAGGATTGTCTGGGTCTTTTATTATTATTCCATATGAATTTTTGGATTGGTTTCTGTATTTACTTGAAGAAAGTTGTTGGGATTTTTAATGGGTATTGCAGTGAATTTGCATATTGCCGTGGGCAGAATTACTATTTTTACTATGTTAATTTTTCTCAAGGCTAGTGCTCTACCACTAGAGCCACAGCTCTACTTCCTACCTAGCTGACTTTGAACTGTTACCCTCAGATCTCAGCCTCCTGAGTAGTTAGAATTATAGGTGGGAGCCACTGACTCCCAGTCCAGCCTTTTATATTAATTAATTAATTAATTTTGACAGGGTCTTACTCTGTTGCTTAGGCTGGCCTGAAATTTCTATACTCAAGTGACCCTCTGTTTCAGAATCCAATTTAGTTGAGATTATAAGTGTGACCCACTGTGCTCAGCTTTTTAGTTTTAGAAATAGCTTTTAATGGATCAGGATTTTAGATGATTATAAGGGCTGGAGGTATAGCTCCAGCTTAGCATGCTTAAGGCCCTGGGTTCATCACCAGCACACAAAAATCAATAAAGAAATAAAGGTACAAATTTTGCCCTCAGCACCCATTTCACCAAAGAGAAAGCCTAAGAATGCATTTGTTGAAGAGGTTGGCGGAGCCAAGAGGAGAAACCCGTTAATGGGGACCATAAGCACTGTTGTAAACTCTTGCGCCCAAAGGTAACCTCTCAGCCTCTCTTCCCTTTAGGTGGTATACCTTAAGATCCAAGCCAGGAAAGAAGGACAAAGAGCGTGGAGAAATTGAGGTGGATATCCAGTTCATGAGAAACAACATGACTGCTAGCATGTTTGACCTCTCAATGAAAGACAAACCTCGGAACCCATTTGGAAAACTGAAAGACAAGATCAAAGGGAAGAATAAGGATAGTATGTCTGATACGGCCTCTGCCATTGTCCCCAGTGTGACACCCTCCATAGACAGTGATGATGAATCTTTTTCAAAAGACAAGAAAAAGAAATCAAAGATCAAGACTTTGTTTTCCAAATCGAATTTGCAGAAAACACCGCTTTCCCAGTCTATGTCTGTCCTGCCTACTTCAAAGCCAGACAAAGTGCTACTTCGGCCTGGAGACTTCCAGTCTCAGTGGGAGGATGATGACAATGAAGACGAGTCCTCCTCCGCCTCAGACAGTAAGTCCCTGCTGCTGCTTCTCATTTGGCTTCTCTTTTCATTTCCACCTTGGCCTCCCTTGCAGTATCAGATGGGCAGAGAAAAGACTTTAACTCAGCATTTTAGTTCTTGCACTGATAGTGGTGGTGTTGGTGGTAGTAATAGAGATGGTGGTGATGTCAGTTTTGGTTGAGAGCCATCTTTATTTCTAAGTACTGTGGTTTCTAAGAATGTGTAAATGCCTTCAAAATATCTGGCTCTGCATCAGTTTGGAGCTCATAGAATGAGTTCTTTATGTTCAGGTTTTGCTTTTATTTTTTTATGTTGTTTTGTTTTTAAGGTAAAGCCATGGAGTCACCAGGTGCTGGTGGCTCATATCTACAATCCTACCTACATAGGAGGTAGAGATCTGAGGATCTCAGTTTGAAACCAGCCTGAATAGATAAATCTGAGACTATTATCTCCAGTTAACCAGTTAACCAGTAAAAGGCCAGAAGTGGAGTTGTGGTTCAAGTAGTAGAGTGACACCTGTGAGCTAAAAGAGAAGCCAAGAAAAAAACAACCAAAGAGCTGGGCATTAGTAGCTCACACCTGTAATCTTAGCTTCTCAGAAGGCTGAGATCTGAGGATCATGGTTTGAAGCCAGTTTGGGCAGAAAAGTGTATGAGACTCAAATCTCCAATTAATCAACAAAAAGTTGGAAGTGGAGCTATGACTCAAGTGGTAGAGTGCTAGACTTGAACAAAAGGGCTAAGAGACAACACTCAGGCCCTGAGTTCAAACCCCAGGACTGGCACACATACATGCACATGTGCATGTGCGCACGCGCGCGCACACACACACACAAGAAAACTAAACAAATGAAAAAACAAAATATGGAAACTTGTAATTCTATTTCATTAATTCATTCAGTAGTTACTGAGCTCTGTTATGGGCTTAAAACACTGAGATATATCCTTAATGGAAGCTCAGGAAATCCTGTTCCCTTAACACAGAATTAATTGTGTATATTTGAATTTTATTTAACTTACTTTAATATTCATATTTGCATTTTGTATTTGAATTTCAATTTCTTGAACTAATTGTTTTTCTTTTCTTGTGTGTGTGTGTGTGTGTGTGTGTGTGTATGCGTCAGTCCTAAGACTTGGAACTCAGGGTCTGGGTGTCCTGCCTTTTTGCTCAAGGCTAGCACTCTACTACTTGAGTCACAGATCTACTTCTGGCTTTTTTTGTTTTAGTTGGCTGTAGGGCTTGAACTCAAGGCCTGGGTGCTATTTCTGAGCTTTTTTACTCAAGTCTGGTGCTCTACCACTTTAAGCCACAACACCACTTCTCGTTTTCTGGTGGCTAATTGGAGATAAGAGTCTCACAGACTTTCCTGCTCAGGCTAGCTTTGTACTATAATCCTTAGATCTCAGCCTCCTAAGTAGCTAGGATTATAAGCATGAGCCACTAGCGCCTGGATACTAGTGGCTTTTTGATGATTAAATGGAGATAAGACTCTCCCAGACTTTCCTGTCCAGGCTGGCTTCAAACCATGATCCTCAGACCTCAGCTTCCTGAGTTGCTAGGATTATAGGTGTCAACCACCAGCACCCAGCTTAACTTATTTTGGGGACCAGGTCTCCTTGTGAAGTCCAGACTGGCCTCAAGTCACAATTCTACTGGAATTACCATTATACTTGGCCTTGAATTTTAATTTCAATGACTAAATTTCTGCTGTTTGAAAAAGGCTGCCCTTTTTCATTTTTTAACAAAACTGTATCCAGCAACTGACAAATGTCTGCCCATTGTAAATCACTCATTTTATTCTTTTATTCACCCTTTCCTTTTTTACTGGGACTCAAACCCAAGGCTTTAGGTATCCTAGGCAAGGACTTTACCAATGTGCCACATCTTCAGTCCCCAACCATTTAATTCTCTGTCCCCTCTCTGCATTCCTTCCTAGTCACGTCCCAAAAGAGAGCAGTGAGTGCGGATCCGAAACAACTGAACCAAATCAACTTCAGCCTTCCCAAGAAAGAAGGGTTGTCCTTTCTTGGGGGCCTTCGGTCCAAGAACGACTTCCTTTCCCGCTCTAACATCTGTATCAATGGGAACCATGTTTACCTGGAGCAACCAGAGGCCAAGAGTGAAACCAAGGACAGCAGTCCATCTAATTCCCCATCACCCCAGGGCTTCCGGAAGAAGCATTTGTTCTCCTCCACTGAAAACCTTGCCATTCGGTCTTGGAAGGAGGCTGGGGAAGGTGACAGCACCTCTTCCGACAGGCGGCTGTCTGAGACCTCCACCAAGGGCTCTCCAAAGTCCACGGACTCGCTGAAGTCCATGTCTCTGCCATCCTACCGTCCTCTGGCCAGTGGGGACATTAGGGAAAACATGGCTCCAGTGAACTTGGAGGTTGTCAGAGAAACCAAAGATAGCAAAAAACCAGAGAGCAAGAAATCCTCTTTGCTTTCTCTGGTGACAGGAAAGAAGGATGTAGTGAAGGGCAGTGAAAGTGAAAGCCCTCATGCTGTCCCCTCCAAGGAGAAGGAAGGCATGCTTGCAGAAGCCCAGCCCAAGGAGGAAGACCCGGTGAGAAGGTCGGAGAAAGTTGCTGCAGATGTTACTTCCAGACAGGGCAATTCCCTCAATCCCTTTGAAGACGTGCAGATCTCAGAGCCAGAAGTGGGACAGGAGACCACGTGTGAACCAAAGCCACCCATTCCTTCTGCGAGGGTTCCGCAGACCAAAGCTGTGAAGCCTCGGTGAGTCTTGACTCTTCTCACACCGGGCTTGCCCCTTTTCTCTGTGGGACTTAGAAGGAAGGCCTCTTTCTACTAGAGCAAACCTGGCCTGTCCCATGATGGCACAAAGGTTTGCCAAAGGTTTGCTGTTTTCTCTAGTCCCTACTGAGGACCAGCCTGGGCTTGCCTAGGCTGCATGAAGGCAGCATGTTTCCCAGCGCAAAGCTACCACCCAGTAGGTGTGGCTTGTTCTCAGTAAGCCAATAAGAGCCAATTCTGAATTAGAATGCAAGGCTGGGGTTGTGAGCGTTTCCCTTGAGGAAGATGCTGTCTTTGATTGCACAGTGTCATTGCTTTGCTGGCATGAATGACCTTTGAGTGTGCCTGTGATAGCTTTCTGTGTCTCCTCTGTGCCTGGATCTCAAAACCTTTGTGAGCCTGGATAGCCTTCTGCTTTCTCAGGTGACACGTGAATTCATGCTCAGTGTTTCTGTAGTCTGGGAAATCCAACCTTTTTTTGGAGATCTACTTTCCTTGGACACACACGCATGCACACATGTCTTTTCTCTTTGAAATCCAGACCTGTTGCCTTGTGTTTTTAGATGAACTTTAAATTTATAAAAATTTTTCTTTTTAGGGCTGGGAAGGTGGCTCAGTGGTAGAGCGCTTGCCTTGTATGCATGAGGCCCTGGGTTCGATTCCTCAGCACCACATAAGCAAAAAAAATTTTTTTTTTATTTTTAGTATCTTTATTGTAAAAGTGATGAACAGGGGCTTGCAGTTACATAAGTAAGGTAACGAGTACATTTCTTTTTAAAAACTATTACTCTTCTCATTGTCTCCTGTTTACCCCTCTCTACTCCCCTCTCCCCCAACTTGTATAGTTCATTTCCAACATTGTGTCAAGTGAGTATCATTGTTGCATTAGTTCATCTTTTGCCCTGCTGTTTCTGTGATTCCCTTTCCCTTCCATGGATTGAATAAATTTATATACAAGACAAAAGGTACAGCCAGGCGCCGGTGGCTCATGCCTGTAATCCTAGCTACTCAGGAGGCTGAGATCTGAGGATCACAGTTCAAAGCCAGACTAGGCAGGAAAATCCTTGAGATTCTTATCTCCAATTAACTACTAGAAAACCAGAAGTGGCATTGTGGCTCAAGTGGTAGGGTGCTAGCCTTGAGCTAAAGAGCTGAGGTACAGCACCCAGGCCCAGCGTTCATGCTCTACAACCAAAACAAAAATCAAACAAAACAAAACAAAAAGAACCAAGACAAGGGTACAGAAAACTAAAACAGAAAAAAAAATAGAAATAACTGCATACAGGACATAATAAGAACCTCTTGTTTTCAATTCTTGGAGTTCATGTTGATATACTTAGATGAACTTTTTTTGTCCTGCCATAATGAAGTAGTAATCTGGAATTATTGGCTGTTACCTTAGCTGGATTTTTCCATTCCTACTGCAGCAGATGTTGGTGTGGCAAATGTGCTTGGTGATAAAGGTACCTTTTCTGTATGCTGGGAGCATATATAGCTCAGTTGCAGCGTGTGTACTTAGCATGTGTGAGGCCCTAGGGAAATGAAAAGTATATTTTTTGTATGTTAAGGGTGGGTATTCCCTAACTTTCTAACATAACCCCAAGTATACATTAAAAATCTCTCCCTCGTAGAAAAATTTTAATTTTACATGTTTTTTTTGTCTTTCACAATGCATCTGCAACTGACCGGCAGATTTTATTTTGTCCTTTTTGCAGACTGGAAGTGTCTCCAGAGGCTCAATCCAAAGCCAGGTTTCCTTCTTCCCTCAACTCTCCTCTTCTTTCCTCTGCTCTTCTTCCTAGCTCTGGTCAGACACTTGACCTTTCTGAATTAGGACATGGTTCAGAGACAGACTCCTCTGAAAGTCCCTCTGTCTCCTCATCTTTCTCATCCCCCATTACAGCTCCTATTTCTACATCTACTCCAATTGAACACTGGGCCCCCACGGGCGAGGGCCAGATCAGTTCTGAAGAACCACCTTTGCTCCTTAAAGCAGGCTGGCAAAAGGAGAGTTCAGCACCAGTTCCAAACACTGGCTCCTCTGCGTTGGGATCACTTTGCAAACAGACACCCATCGCAGTGTGGGAAAAAACAGGAGATACTCCAAGGAGCAGGAACAGTGAGTCTGACCTGGTAAGGGAAGCTAGCAGTGATGAATCAGGAAATCATCTTCAGGAGCAGCAAGAGGCTCTGAGGGTTTCCTATCAAGAACAAGAGGACTGTATCCACTGCCCTGAAGAGGCTCACAGAGCACCATTTGCTCTTTTCCTCAGCAGTGGCACAATCACAGGTCTCTCCCAGAAGCCTGTAGCTGAGGGAGATACAGACATTGGAAATCAGTCTAGATCTTTGAGGGAGAACAGAGTTAGGGGTGGTAGATTGACTCCTACAGTCAAAGAATTAGCATCTCCCCTTCGGGTGGAAGAAGTAGCCCTCCCATTGGACACCATGACACAGAAACATGAAGAGCTGGATCTGAACACCAGTGAGGCCCCAAAGAAAGTAAAAAAGCGTGTGTCCTTTTCTGAGCAGCTCTTTATACAAGAGGAGGTGGAGAAACCCACAGGATTAGGAGCAGAAGACAAAAGGCATCCCCAGAAGCTGGCCTGTGAGGAGGCTGTCCCGGGAACCACATCTAGCATGGAGCCCCTCAGCCTTCCTCACACAGATGACACAGAGCAGGAGCCTGTGGACACAGAAGACCAGCGCCTCATCCCCTCTCATGAGGAGAGCTTCTCCCAAGACCCCACGAGTGAAGCAAGCTCAGTAAAAGGCAGCCTACTTTTCCAGATCGAAGGGGATAATACCCTCACAGCTCAGTATCAGAGCAAAGCCAGCGATCATGAAGGCCTATTGTCTGATCCCCTGAGTGGTCTTCCCTCCGCCTCTGATGTGAAACCTCCCCCTATGACTGATCTGAACTTGTCCCTTCCTTCCATTCCTGAAGTGGCCTCAGATGATGAGAGAGTAGATGAGGTTGAAGGTATGAGGGAGACAGCAAAGCCAAGAGTGCCAGAAGTAGAAGCTCCATCCTTCGGTGGGTCCCCTCCCTTTCCTGCGGAGGCAGGGGGGCTGAATGGTGGGGTGTCTGGGTCTTCTTCCACAGAGAATCTGCTTGTCCTAAGGCTACAAGCCTCCAAAGCAGCTTCTGTAGAGCAGACAGTAGCTTTGGGAATTCATAAATCACATCTTGACGTAGATGAGCAGTTGCCAGACTCTGATATTTGTGAAGAAACAAAGGCCAAGGAAAGTGGGATGCCCAGTCAGCCTGCTGGCTCATCTCTGGACTCTCCTGTACCCAGCCCCTCCCTCTCTGAGACCTTTCCTGCTACACATTCTTTCCCCAGCTCTCCACATTCCCACACTCACCACACCATTGCAGCAGAATCTCAAAAACAAGCAACAGCTGAGGGCTCCGCTGCTAAAGTTGACAATTTTGGCAAGAGGAAGCCGCTTCTTCAGGCCTGGGTCTCACCCTCAGAGACACATCCAGTCTCAGCTCAGCCAAGCACAGGAACGGGGGCAGCCAAGCACAGGTGAGAGATGGGGAGACTGTCTTTGTAACTCTTTGCTTTTATCTGCAGTGGTCTTGGCTTCCAACCACCGAGTTCCTGAGCCCCCAATCTGCCTACCTGGCTGAGAGGGCCTGTCTTACAAAAGCTGTGGCGTGTGGTGGGAATACCTGAAGACCATCTGCATGAGTAGCAAGATCATGGTAGGAGTTCTCAAAAATAGCTTAGGAATCCTGCAGAGTTAGGAGCCAGTCAGATTCTGGAGCCCTCCAACTGTAGAAATGTTCCTTGAAGAGGGTCAGGAAGAAGCCAAGATGGAGCAGTAGAATCACATGGTGTTGAAATCTGTCCAAAGAGCAGCTGTTGTGCTTGTTCTGAATTGCAAGCCCATTGGAGTCCTAGTGACAGGCCATAGTTACCTTTACATACAAGAGACTTTCTGAGGTCCTTTTAGGTGGATGTGTTTGGGATCAAACCCAAGACCCATGTGTGCTTGGTACTTGCCTTGCCACTGAGTTTCACCCCAGGCCTTAAAGTCTGTCTTTAATCCCTCCTGATTTTCTTAACCTGGCAAAAAGCTCATGAGAACATCAAGATACCTGGCCCAGGATGTGCTTTGCTGGCTTGTGTGTGGCAGCCTTGTCCTGTCTGCTTTCAGTTCCACAGGAGCTGAAACATTGGAGTGGATCCTGGACGACAGATGTGAACAAAGTGTATTCTACTCTCTCCTCCCTCATCTATTTTGCCAGCTGCCATCTTTGAGATGGGCAGTTCTCAATTTTGTGGTTACAGGAAGGTTTCAGAATCTTCTTTCCCTTTTCTTTAGACTCCAGCCTGTGAAACCAATGAATACAACAGCCACCAAGATCACCAACTCCAGTTTGGGAACTGCCACCATCATCAGTGAGAACCTCATCAATGAAGCAATGATGAAGGTATGGCATGTTGGCATGTTACAGACCTATAGCTATCATGTGTAAAGTCATCATTATAGCTTAGCATGGCAGTTCAGGCCTATAATTCTAGCTAAGGAAGTGGCGCTGTAGCTCAAGTGGTAGAGCACTCGCCTTGAGTTGAAGAGCTGAGGGACAACACCCAGGCCCAGAGTTCAAGCCCGACGACTGACCAA